GTGTGTAGGTTGGCTGGAGGTCCTTTTTGTGAAGCGTGCCTTCATCTTTTGGTCGGTTAGCTAGGATGTATAGGATTCTTTTGTGATACATTGTATATGTATCTAGTCGTTGGGTCGAGTCATGCTCTGGTCATGTAACACTGGGATCGCTTGGTTTATATATTTTAGAGATACATTATGTACTTTATACTATATTTTTATATTTATCGAATTATTATGATGTTGGCCCCAGTGCCTAATGATGTTGATTTAGGTGGTGAATTCAAATGTTTCTTTTACGAAGATTGTGATATAATTGAATCCGCTGCTACATGCAAAGTGAAACTTTGAAAAGCATGATTACTTATTGAAGTTTTAATGAGCATGGCAGGTGGTTTTTGATGTTTGAAAGTTATGTGTGACGCCCTTTTGTGAATGCATGATTATTTACTCTGATTATTCATATATTTTCCTTGGGGTTTAGAAGGGTGTTACATGAGCTACGTACGCACTATAACACCATTTGCTAAACTCTACTTCTAAAAGTACATGCGAGATACATTCTTATTACAACATTCTCCTAGACATTCGTAAACATGCAATGTCTAGGAGTGCATGCGAGTTAAGTCATACTACACGCTCTCTCTAGACAATACCTACTCTGATATAGTATGATGCATGATGAACAAACAAACACAATTTCCATCTGAACCTCGAAACCGTATTTGAAACACAGTAACCTTGATTACCACATTAGGGGTTCCACAAGGTTTATCAAACATTTACTTTGATTGCCACATTAGGGCTCCACGTTGGTTCTTACTAAGCCTTCAACATAATTGTCACATTAGAGCTTCACATTGGTTCTTATCAAACCTTCAACGTAATCGTCACATTAGGACTTCGGAGTGGTTCTTATCAAACCTTCAACATAATTGCCACATTAGGGCTTCACATTGGCTCTTATCAAACCTTTAACATAATCGCCACATAGGGGCTTCACAACTTACCACACATCTACTTTGACTTTCCATGTTAGGCTTCACGAATATTTTATCAAAATATTAAACTTATGTCCTAAGAGTGTTCTCAAAATCATTCATCATTCACAACATGATTCATAACAAGTATTTTATCAAAATATTGGACTCATTTCTTAAGGTTCACTTAACATTATTCATTATTCATAATGTGATTCATACATATAGACATCATGAAACCTTTACCCCAAGATAGGTTTTTTCATTAAATTTCTAACACATTTGACTGCACCTCAATCTGAGTTTCTAAACTCAAGTTATGAATTTTTGAAATTTCTCATACACGTAATCATATTCTGAACTATTAGTAACCACATCCCGAACTAGCAGTAACTACTTACAGAACTAGAAGTAACCACTTTCTAAACTAACAGTAACAACATACTAAACTAGCAATAACCACATGTTAAACTATTAGTAACCACATGTTGAATTAGCAGTAATCACGTCTTAACAATTAATAACCACTTGCTGAACTATCAGTAACAACATACTGAACTAGCAGCAACCATATGTTGGACTACCAGTAACCACTTATTCAACTATCAGTAACTACTTACTGAAAACTAATTACAAATCTAATAGTAATCACACAAAAATCCAAAACAAACTCATAAAACAATGCAAGCACGAAATCATAGAAAATCATACATCACAACATCAATTTGACACTAATTCAACAAGATAAATTCATCATATCACATCTTTATCAATCAAAATATGATAATGACATCCGTATACACGATTTCAAGGAAAACACATTAATTTATCTCAATAACTTATATCATTGATAATATGAGCGAGATTCATAACATAGAGTTAATGAGTAATCATCTAGGAGGGTATTTCTCATAGGAATTTGGACGAATTCGGGGTTCAAGCGAAACCCCACTACCCTAAACGCTAAAATACCAATATTATAGAATATTCTCTTCCCCTACCTTGGAATTGCAAATATTCCTCCACGAAGCTCTCAATAATGATGACAACCCTCATTTGCACAATCCTTACAACGATCTTTTTGGTAAATTGATGTTTTTCTCTTAGATTTTTGGAGAATAAGAGAGTGACTATGTTTTTTTTCTTAAAAAAATATGTGTTTTTTTTTTGTTTCCCTCTTTTTTATCTCTTTCCTTTCCTTTTCTCTATTTCCCTCTTATCTTTCCTTAAAATCTGATTTTTATTTTCTTTATTTCACTCTTTTTTTTCTCTATTAATTCTAAATTGTTAAATTACATGCTAATAATAATAATAAAATTATAAAAATACAATAATAATAATAATAATAATAATAATAATAATAATATTTTAATTATTTTTTGAGTTTTACTGCTGTGGTATTCATTACTACATCAGCGAAAGCTGAAATTTAGAATTGTTTGATGATCATGGAAATATTAGGGATGATGATCTATTTGATGATGTTTTTTTAAAAGTTTTTAAGATTGGATATCTTAAATGGACCGAAGAATCTCAAGTTGTTGAAAAAAGAGAGGATTGAAACTCTTCTTTAAGTCAAAACTCGTCTCATGCTAACTATTTAAGAGTTGAAGGAAGAAATTGGTCATCTCAATTCTAACTTTGATGGTATTAATGGTGTTCATTGGTTTGGACAAATCTGAACCAAATTGGAATTCAAACCAAATCAAAGTGTTTGAATTGAGGTTTTTTTTTAGTTCAGGCAAAACTCAAACCAAATTAATGAAACTCAATGTTAATTGGTTCAAGTAATGAGTTTCAAAAATTCTACGCGCGAGCCCGTCTACCTGAACCAACCATAATTAATTTGTACAATTTATAACATCATTATCATGAAAACTAGTATAAAGTATTCAATGTTTAGAATTAAAAAATGAAACGACATTTGTGACATTCACAACCTATATAGAGACAAAAAAAATTAATGATTTTATATTGTTATAGAGAATTAGTTGATGTAAATTAAATATTTTTTTAATAAATTTTCTGCACATTTGTTTCTGATGTATTCGATCAATTCAATCTAAATCAACCCGTTATTTATCAATTTGGTTTTGTTTGGGCTTTATCGCAAAAATGTGAAACTCAAGTCAAACCAATCCATATATTTTTAATCGGTTCAAATATCAGATTCTCTTAAAATTGAACAAAATTAGCATGCGAATACCCCTAGATGGCATGACCAAATTTGTTTACATGTTAAATTTTGAAATTGAGAGTCTTGATGAAATTATAGGTGTGGGTAAATCATCGAAAGACATTAAAAAAAATTAGATATATGGGCAAATCATCCAATTCAAATAATGTGTTTTGTTACACCTGTTTAGACTAAGAGTGGAAAGTGAGATGCAATCTACTAGATTAGGGTTGCCTATATATTATAGATTGTCAAATACAAAAACAAAAGTAAGTATGGTCTCTTGAAAATTCCAGAGCCTCAAACCCTAGAAATTTGCTATAAAGGCTAAAATGTTATTTAGTGTATAGTATGGTCTCTTGAAGATTCTAGGGCCTCAAACCCTAGAAATTTGCTATAAAGGTTAAAAAGTTATTTATTGTCAAATACACATTATTCTAAACTTAACATTACACTTACAATTATCATTGATTTGATCATCCGAGTGTTTGAAGGTACACTCCCACCATCAAACAAAGTTCGAAGACCTTGACTTGATCATCCGAGTGTTTGAAGGTACACTCCCACCATCAAACAAAGTTCGAAGACCTTCATACGTGTTTGTCATCAAATCTATCATCGTCAACAACACTTCATAGTTGATAATAATTATGATTCTGAATCTATTTGATTTTGTATACATTTCTTTCAATTTCTAAAATGGGGAAGATATTTTTCTTTCCGAAGAATTGTCCTCGGGAGGGATTGTCCTTTGAATGGAATTGTCTTAGGAAAGATTTATATTTGCTTGTTTTTTATATAAAAATATGTGTTACTAATTTAGTTTATGGAACTTTTGTTTGGCGGGAGAGTTATCTAGGAGAATTATCTAATGCAAAAAGAATCTGACAGACAGATACACGGTGGTGTTTAAAGTTTTGCAGTTCAAAACTCGTTATATAAGGTGCCCAATTCACGTTTCAAACAAGAAAGAGCTGGACAGTAATATGAAGAAAGCTATGATAGTTATGTGGTACACCATTTGCTCCTTCCAAATTTCATGTTTTTGGATGGAGTTTGCTGTCATGATTACCAACTAGAGAGGAACTTTGTAAAAGGGTGAAAAAATGGTGCTCACATTTTATCTTGTGTGTTGTTTCAAAGTTGAGTTCAACACAAATTTATTTATTTACTTAATGTTTTTTCTATAAACATTGATTGAAAAATGATGGTGGATGTGTCAATAGATGATGAAAGTGTGACAGTTTGTGTGCTCTTATCATATAAAGAAGCAAAAAGATACATGTCACCAAAACTTCTTTATAACCAACACTATTTCAAAGTGATGAGAAGTTATATTGGCAAGAGACTATTCACCACTAGGCAGCTAATCACTATTTGAATCTTCCCAGGAGAAGACATCCACATTTAGTTTCTGTCGACTCCTCTTCGAACATGACTGCAATTTCTGGAAGAGAAGTCCTGGTTATTTGAAAGAAAACAAATCAACTTTACTATAACCATAATAAGATTAACAAATCTATTGGTTTCCTTAAATGAATGTTTAATAAAACTGTCCCAATCTAAAAGGCTAATCAGATATATAAAATGTGGAATTTCAATGTTAATTACAACAACTATGAACTAACCTATTCCAAACAAAAAGCTCATTAATCACACATAATTTACTACAAAAGCACATCATGCAACAAACACATAAAAGGCTATGTGTGTTTGGAAATATGGCACGGAGAGCTTAACGTGCAGTGAGTGCAAAGCTACTGGTTGTAACTTTTGGTTAGATGTTAGGCCACGCCGTAAAAACCGATGATTCCAAACACACTAAAACATCTAATAAGTTAACATTAACGGAAATATATCATCTGTCATATCGTCTTTAAAGATGGCTTTAGTTTTGGAACCTTGAAGCTGGAAGAGAACAATTTGGGTGTCTCGGAGGTGGGAATAACTGGAGTTTCTTTCCTCTTCAATCCTTTTTTCTCCTGGACAACAAAAAATTCATGGAAGGGAAAACAAACAAATCATAAGAAACACTTCATTTTCAAATTATAAGAATTTTTTTGGTGAATATGAATATGCATAGGAAGGAGAATAGGAAATGATACCAAAGAATATGAAACACTACTGGAACATGAGATAATGTTGAAGCTATTTCCAGATGGCCAAATATAATGGAGCTCACTAATTGAGGAACAGGCCAACCGACCTTATAAGCATGGCAAGTGAACGTGAAAAGTATAAAACACCACAGAACATAGAGCATATAGATTTTAATATTACCAACATAAAATACACCTTAAATGATTAACAAAAGGAAATTTATGTTTTCAAGGTGAGTAATAATACTAAACATGTGGTTTATGTCAAGACTACAACGATCGCGTGTTCTTGTGAAATTTCATCTCAAATATTGTGTTTTAAAAGTAGACAGTTCTACCACAGTTCTGGTTTATGTGAAGACTACAACAATTTCACTTTCTTGTGAAATTTCATCTCAAATATTGTGTTTTAGAAGCAGACAATTCTACCAAGAACAGAATCCAGAGATCTACATCATTGCCCATAAAATAAGCAAACATAAACTAATGGACCCTACAAGCAAAAGGGGATGAGCATGACTGATTTAATGCAGGAAATAAGGAAGACAAGCAGATAGCAAAAGTACATAAGATACCTTTTTGGAGAAATTTGTGGATGTGGAAGCAGGTCCAACAGGAGTACATAACTCTTTGTCAAAAGTGATCTTTCTTCTACTCCTGCTGCTCTCAATTGTTCCAGAGCCACTAGATCCTGCCGTGCAACGTTTTGAAAGGGGTTTAACTTCGCTGTTCTTCAACTTTCTTAAAGATTCCATCTCCGCTGAGAGTCCAGATATTTCCTTGTTTAATCTATTTGTTTCCGCGTCCATATCAGCCACTATACTTTCTAACTCTGATATTCTACTATCCTTTTTAGTATTTGTTTCTGTGTCCATATCAGCCACTACACTTTCCAACTCTGATATTCTACTATCCTTTTTACTATTTTCAGACTGCAGTTCCTCCATTCTGGAAACAAGCATGTTTATCTTCTCATTTGCCTTTATTACTTCATCTTGTTTATTTCTCAATTTATTACTGTAGTCAGCCTCCATTTTATTAAATTGATTCCACACAAACTTCTTTTCTTCCAACAGTGCTAATAGCTCAGAATTTTGTTCTGCAGCAAGCTTATCATGTTTATCTTTTGTTTCTTCATGAGACGAATTCTTCCCGCTACTTGAGGTACCTTTAAGAGCAAGGATATCAAACCCAGTTTTGAAATCGTCTAAATCGTCCTCAGCACTATCTGCAACCAAAAGATGGTGAATATGAAAGCCACAAATCTAGTTATAACAATATCAACTCAACTAATAGTTTAAGAGCTTAAACAAAAAAAACACTAAAAAAAAATAGCAAACTATCATTCATTCTTGTCAGTGAGGATACAATTACAAGTTAAAATTATGTTTTCTGTTAGAATATTATAAAATATCTTATAATATATTTTATATTGATTTAGCGTATCTCTTAATATCATATTTAATATTAGTTATTATTATTATTATTATTATTATTATTATTATTATTATTATTATTATTATTATTATTATTATTATTATCTCGTTTTTTATTTAGAATTGAGTTTATGTATTCCTATGAATAGGAATTAGTATTGAGTCTTTTGTATCAACATGGTATCTAGTGCCTGGTTTGATCCTCCTTGAACCGTCTCAACACTAGTCCATTGTGGAGTTCCCAAACGGTTAGAAATGCCATAATAGTTTTCACTTTTCCGAGCAAGGTTCGATATCACTTATTTGTCTTCGGATTCAGCCACCGTCAAGGCTAACCCTAGTTTATTTTTCAGTTTGGAAGTGTATACACAGCCATTATTGTGTAGTCCCAAAGTAGTTCCATGGTTGTTCTTTCATAGAGAAACTTCAACTATCGTGTATGACAACTCTACGACCCCACATCAGATACTTCGAAGTCAAATTGGTCAGTCCCTAAAGTTCCCCTGCCAATCGCTATCTCATGTACATTTCTAGTCCATAAGGTGCATAAAGGCCATTGGCCACCCTTCATACCTCGTATAAGGTTGTTGCAAGTCTTGGTAGACTCACCTCCCTTTTTGGTTTATATGGGAGCACTAACAATCTGTGGGTCCCATGTTAAGGGTGAGTTCCAAATGGTTCTTAGTTGTTTCATAGGTTGATGTCGTGGTCACGTCTAATGGCCTTACGGCGAGGATTATTTATCTCTGCATTGGTTATTTGTCCAGTTCTAGAAGTTTCAGAAGTCTGACTTCGGTGCAATGGTAAAGGCTCTAATTCCAACAACCCTCGTTTCGTGGGTTTTTGCGTTTTTCTTTCTCCATTGACCGATCATCTCTTTTTTGCTGACATTTTGGGGTCGATTTATAATCAGGTTCATGATTTGGAGTTTTAGCATTTGTTCTTATTTCAAACTTAAATTATTCTACTCAAATTCATTGTTTTATGCCTCGTATCTAATGCACTTGTCCACTATCTATCTTTGTGTTTGTCTAGAACAACATGTTCTTGAATTTGGTAACTGATGGAGAAACTGTTCTGACATTGCAGCACTGTTTTAAGTCACTATCTATCTTTTGTATCAAGTCAATAATCATAATCAAAAGTATTTTTCTCTTTTCCGACAAGGTTGAATGTTCCTAGTGTGTAGTGTCAGAGGTAACAAAAATCTTTCTCAAGCATTCAAAATAACAAAAAACATCAATATCACCACAATACAAAAAAAATCCAACTAGAATAACAACTGCTACGAGCAACACATTCAAACCAGTTTGTTTTCTGCTGCTTAAAAAAAACTTCCAAATTTTCTATACAGTTATTCAGACAACACTTCAAACACAGTGAAAATAGCTGTTTTCTAATCAAGTAAAACCATTAAAGTAACATAACAACAACTTCAGGGTCTAACACCAAAAACGGAAACAAAACAACAAACCTATTTGACTATTTCATATTATTCAACAGCCAAACACCAATTTTTCTTCACTAACCCAAAATTAAAGAGAACATCCAAAACATAACCCATTGCAAGCAACCAATTTATCAAAAGCATGAAAGAAAAAGGAACTGACCCAACATCCATTTCAAAACAGAAGCATCTCTCTCCTTATAACCCATCATCAAATCAGCCTTAGCAGCTTCGAGCACCCGTTTCTTCTCCTCAAAAATCAAAAGACTCTTTATCTACAACACAATTTCAACCAAAACATTTAAAAAATATGTAACTTCGTTTTTAGGTTTTTTCAAAAGGGAAACCCTAAAAAAGGGAAATGATCTAATTTACATGAGAAATTTGATCCCTGTACTGTTTAACATCAGAAGCCCAGCGTTGGTTCTGCATTTGCAATCGATCTTCTAGAAACTTCTGTTGATTAGCGAATGTTTGAAGCTGGTTTTGCTGATTCTTCACCATCTGAACCAATAAGTTGAATATGTTGCCCCAATTTCGGCGCTCCAATAAATCGGCGTTTGAAGGTTCTGTTTTGTTGGAATTAAGCATCCCGAGATGCAGAAGAGATGAACGAAGGATGTGGAAGTTCAGAAGAACTGAAGTGAACGAAGAAACATCGACGGTGAGAAAGCGGAAGAGGGAACTTTTGAAAATAAGCGCGTTTGGAACGTCGGGTGCAAATAGAACCGTTGATGTGCTTTCTGTACTTACTCTCCAAGGGCTAAAATACGTTTGCACCCCACCCTTTTTCTTAATTTCTTTTTAAACCAAGTTGTAAACATTTACAATTAGAATATTAAAGTAAACATTTAATTGGTATACATTAAAGAAATTGTAATGGTTAAATATTAATTATAGTTTGATTTTGATTTTAAATATTTGTAAAATCATATTTATGAGTGGTTGTGATTTAGTGATTGCGTAAAAAAAATTTACACTAATAGTACATAATAATTATATATATTAATTATATATATATATATATATATATATATATATATATATATATATATATATATATATATATATATATATATATATATATATATATATATATATATATATATATATATATATATATATATATATATATAAAATTAATTAATTAATTTTGTATCAAAAGATTTAGAAAGTTTTAAAAGAAAAAATGTTGTAAGAAGTAAATTATTTGGTAGAAAACGAATTTGAAAAATTCTACTGTTCTTCTAATGAATATTAAATTATTGCATATTTATTATATTTATTTTTTTTATTAGGTGTGTTGAAAATAAGATTTTTGATAAAAAAAAAGGGTCCAAAACCAAAAAATGAATGTTACCAAAAGATTTTGTTTTAAGCCATATTTTAAAATAAGAAACCTTTATACTATTTTGTAATTCCTTTTTTTCTATTTATTTCACTACAATTATTATAATATTGAAAAAATGAAAAGTCCTTCTACGAGTTGTGTTATATTCGTGTTATATTTAATTTGTTTTATTTAAGAGTGTGATTCTCTAGTTAAATATATTTGTAAAGGATTTAAAGGTTATAAGATAAACCTAAAAAAAGTTTAGGTGAATGTTCTTAAGTTAAGTCTGTTTAAAAGTTGTGTTTGTTGTTGAAAAATTGTAGGTTGTTCTTGTGTAAAAGCTTTAAGTATTATTGAATATTGTTTAGGCTAATCCTAGAAAAGCTCAAGTTTGATTTTATTGGAACTCTGAAGAGGAAAACTCTTGAGGTTACCATCATGATCTACCTCAAGGCACTAAGGTTAATCAGGTCGTTCATGTTTTGCTGTTGAAAAAATCCATTTGACCAGTTACAAAATCGTAACATTTGAAGGGGCGAGAAACACAAGAAATTGGGGTTTGAGTTGGGTTTCCCTAAATGTACATTTTTCTTCAAATTCAAAATTTAATGCTAACAAGAGAATATAAATAAATAGACACAATTATTTTTATCCTGATTCACTATTAACAAAGTTACTCCAGTCCACCCACTTAGGTGATTTCTCTTTAGACAAGGATTTGATCCAATAATCTAGAAAGATTACAACCTTTAAGTGTTAGCACTACGCCAGAATTGATTTTTAGCAGCGCATACAAAGACAACGCTTTTAAAAAAAGCGCTGCTAAATAGTCAGTAAAAAAAAAAGAAAAAATTACCTACCAAAGACAGCGCTTTTTTAAAAAGCGCTGCTAAAAGGGGACCCTTAGAAAGCGCTTTTTAAAAGCGCTGCTAAAAGGGGACCCTTAGAAAGCGCTTTTTAAAAGCGCTGCTAAAAGGGGACCCTACGAGAGCGCTTTTTTTATAAAGCGCTGCTATATGTCATTGCTAATGCACCCTATGAAAGCGCTTTTAAAAGCGCTGCTAAAGGCCTTTAAAAAGCGCTGCTAAAGGTATTAGTATAATAATTTTTATATACCCTCCAGAATTGTAAACGAAACAGAACACGCGTTTTTTCGTTTTCTTCTTCGTTTCTTCATTTCTCCATTGCCCTATCTTCCATTTTCGCCCTCCGTTGAAGCTTTCGTCGCCGTCCGTTTGCGCCGCCGTCTTCCATTTGTTTTCGCCGCCGTTCGCCGTTCCCTTTCGCCGCCGTTCACCGTTCGTTCTCCTCCACCGTTACGGTAAATCCGCGACTGTTACGGCATTTTTATGGATTATTGTCTTAGTATTGCATTTTTCTGGATTAGATGATGTTAGTGCTACTTCTTTCTGAGTTATTGACTTGTTTTTGTTGATACCATTGATGAGCATTACTCTTTTGATATTGGCTTGAGTTTTGTATGCAAGGTGTTTGTTGAAATGCCACAATGAATTTTGAGCATTATAAATTAGTTTAGAATAATTTAGTCCATTACCAAAATTTTTGAGAGTATGCTTTAATAATTTAGAATAGTTTAAAATCATATTAATGCAATAGTTTAGAATAGTTTAGAATAATTTAGTCCATTTCCACCATTTTTGAGAGTATGATTTAATAGTTTAGAATAGTTTAAAATCATATTAATGAAATAGTTTAGAATAGTTTAGAATAATTTAGTCCATTTCCACCATTTAATGAAATAGTTAATTATTAATATGATTTTAATAAAATATATATATTGTCTGTTATAGGGGTTACCTGAGAAGAGCAAGGTTGTGATTGTTTCCAAGCATCCTACTGTACAACTTTCTTAGAAGTTAGTGATTTCTTTACAGGTATTCTCTGTTTTTGCCTAACTTTCATAGTATGGATAAAAATTGGATGTTTGTTAATCGATTGTCAAAAGAGTACGAGAATGGGGTATCGAACTTCGTTAAGTTTGCTGTTGAACACGCCAAAGACCCCAGTAGGATCACATGTCCTTGCTTAGGTTGCTGTTATGGGGGTCGAATTGACGCGGTTCAGTTGGAATCTCATTTAATGAGACATGGAATTGATCGAAGTTACACATGTTGGACATTACACGGTGAGATAAGTAACGAGAATGTTGAACCCCAGAACAATACGACCTCTACTTCAAAGGACAATGGTAGGGATACATACGATTGTGATCGAGTCGAAGATATTGCAGAAGCACTTGAAGAAGATCTTCAAGATTGTCCAAAGATGTTTGAGAGGTTGGTAAGCGATGCAGAGAAGCCGTTGTATAAAGGTTGCACTACTTTCACAAGATTGTCTGCGGTATTAAAGTTGTACAACTTAAAGGCGGGTAATGGATGGTCGGATAAAAGTTTCACAGAGTTGTTAGCCCTACTTCAAGAGATGCTTCCGGAGGATAATGTTCTTCCCAATCGAACCTATGAAGCTAAAAAAATGTTATGCTCTATTGGTATGAGCTATGATAAGATACATGCTTGTCCAAATGATTGCATTTTGTTTCGAAATGAGTATGCATCATTAAACGAGTGTCCTAAATGCGGTGTATCTCGGTATAAGAAAAAGTTGTCACCAGCAAAAGTCTTATGGTATTTTCCTATAATTCCGAGATTCAGACGCATGTTTCGTAGTGAAACAGATGCGAAACACCTTACTTGGCATGCAGATGATAGAATTATAGATGGGAAGTATCGATATCCGGCAGATTCACCACAGTGGATGAAAATTGATAATGATTATCCTGATTTTGGAGAAGAAGCTAGAAACCTTCGCTTGGCATTATCGACTGATGGAATGAATCCGCACGGTCTGCAAAGTATCTCCCATTCCACCTGGCCTGTAATTCTTATGATTTATAACCTACCTCCATGGCTATGTATGAAGCGTAAGTACATGATGTTATCTATGTTAATTTCTGGCCCTAAACAACCAGGAAACGACATAGACGTATACCTGACACCTTTAATCGAAGACTTAAAAAGTTTGTGGGAGAACGGTGTGGAGGTTTATGATGGATATAGGAAAGAAAGTTTTAATTTGAGGGCCATGTTGTTTGGCACAATTAATGATTTTCCAACATACGGAAATCTATCGGGGTATAGCATTAAAGGTCAATGTGCGTGTCCTATCTGTGAAGAAAACACAGATTGGACGCGGTTGGAATTTGGTCAGAAGAATGTCTTTCTTGGTCATCGTAGATTCTTAAGTTCTAATCATCAGTACCGTGGGTGGAGACAAGAATTCAATGGAAATTCAGAACAACGTAGAGCACCACCTACATTGACCGACGATCAAATTTTTGCAAAGGTGAAAGATGTGAGTACTCAGTTTGGCAAGCCTTTTGCTCATACGCTTACCACACGTGGGTGGAAGAAGAGGTCAATTTTGTTTGAGTTGCCGTATTGGAAGTCGTTGTATGTACGACATTTTCTTGATGTTATGTGTAACACCCATTTTAATTATTTAGTCATTTTATTATTATTTTAAATATTATATGTTGATGTGCCCTTTGGTAGGGTGTATTTGATGATGTTTGGTGGGTGTCCCTGAGATGGGAGATCATTGGTGGTAATTTGGTGAGTTTATAATAATATAAGAAATAATAGTAATATTGGTGGTGGTATTAATATTATTATTATTATTATTATTATTATTATTATTATTATATTTATGATTATTATTAATATTTGTAGTAATATTATTAATATGGAGAATATAATATTATTATTAATATAGTTATTATATTATTATGATTTTTGGTGTGAATATGATAATATAATGAATAATAGTAATATTGGTGGGGGTATTATTATTATATATTATTATATTTATTAGTATTATTAATATTATTATTATTTTGGTGAGATAATAATATTATTACTATTATTATTATTATTATTATTTTAGTGAGATAATAATATTATTATTATTATTATTATTATTAATAGTATTATTATGATTAGTATTATTAATATTAGTAATATTATATTAGTATTATTAATATTAAGATTATTATTATTCATATTATTTTATTATTAGTATTAATATAATTGTTATTATTATCATTAGTATTATTATTATTATAATTATAATTATTGTTGGGTGTATTACTATTATTATTATTATGTTGAATATTACTATGATATTATAATAGTATTATATTATATTATTATTATTATTATTATTATTATAATGATTATTA